ATTTCAACTTAAAATTTGTGATACGCTTGTAAAAAAGAGAGTAAACTCATTTAAATACCTTGGTAACAAATGTTCTAAATAAGGTTGTTTTTCTTTAAGTATAAGGAAACACTTGGCTTAGCGGTCAGACAAGGTATACATGTATCACTACTTATAACTTCAATTTACCAGCAGTTTTTACTGACCTAGTGCTTAAAGGTACATTATGTCATACATGTGTTTAAAATGTTTTACTAATGGATTTAGAGAATGTTCGATGTTTAACAAATGAAGAAAATAGCGTTGAAAGTGCGTTGAATGTGTCGTTAATGTTGCAAAGTGTAAACAAAGTAGTTTCTTGACTTCCATACAAACACTTATCACTATAACTACATTATGTTTACTATAACAAATGTATACCAAATTTCCAACAAAGCTGAAGAAATAACATGTTTTTGAGAAAAAACAATGATAGCAATTCTGCGATTTAATGGTCCTTAAAGGTATTTGAATAAACTGTATATATTCTGATGCACGGAGGGGCACCTGAGGTCTTCCTCCACCAGTAAAGCTGGCACGTCGCGATATGACCTATACTGTGTCGATGTGACGTAAAACCCAAAACAAACAAACACAAACGAAGTATGGTGATATGGATAGCTATAAAAAACATATAACCTACTTGTTGAAAATCTCAATGAAACACAATTAAATTGATATCTGATTTACCAACATTTTTATTTTTTATTTTGGTGCATCGCTATTTTTCGCTTTGGGCAAATGACAGGGTTGTACAAGGCACCTTCGCATGGAACTCTGGTACACCCTGGGGCTATACCAACTTGTGGTATCAATTTATCTATTTTAATTTAGTAACTTGTATTTTTCCTTGAGAGAAAACCTTTATCTATCAATGGTATTACACTTTCTGTAGAGATGACACCCCGTACCTTTGCGAGAAAAACCTTAATGGTGAGCAAATTCAAGTAAGTCCTTTTTTAAATAAATTTGTAAAGTACGAAAGTAAATCAGTCGTCAGACAGTAAGCTAAGTTATAGTGCATATTAGCAACCATTGTAATAATATAATACCATCGGGTTGCTAATATGCTCTATTACCCTGAGAGACATGTGCTATTTTGTATTATGTCATCAGAACATGATTCGGTGAACAGAAAAGGTATTACGAAATTTACGATATACTTAGTGATCAGTCAAATCATTAGAGATGTGTTATTTTCTATGATAAGGAAACCAGTATTCTAAAGGCAAACTATGCCTCGGAAACAAATAAAATTTTACTTCTTCAGAAAGAGCAAACGTGAATTTTATAATTTTTAAAAAATTGTTATAGAAAATATTAGATGTTTGTTACCTGAAAAAAGTAGCGATAGATGTGAAATAATTTGTCATAAAAGAAGCAAAATGTAAACAAGGTAGTAATTGGACTTCCATAAAAAATACATAATCACTATAAATGAATTTTATTTATAAAATATTTTACAGACAAGATGGTTCAATAACATCTATTCTTTCTTTTTCTTTCGTTATTTATTTCGGGAATAAGATCTTTCCGTATTATAGTAAATCATGCGCATGCGCAATTTACTCTTTTTCCGAGAACAAAGAAAACAAAGAAAAATTTTCTCTCAGCTAGTTAAAATTGTTATAGTATAACTAAATACTATTACTGTACTTATTGCCAAAAGACAACAGATGAACAAGCTGGTTCAAGTAAATGGCCAATGAGTATCTTCTATGATACTATAAAAGTACACTAAAATCAAAAAGCTTCTGAGAAAAAATACAATATTATTTCGGAGGCATAATAAGTCTATAATAATGTAAAACATTTTAATATTGTAACTTGTCGTGAGTACAGTGGAGTCGATTAAACAATAATTGCTATAAAAATCGTAATAAATTTGATTAAACTTTCATAATTTAATTTTATTCATTTGATGTTTTGTTGCTCTCATTCTTGATAATTGCTAGCCTAGTAATCACTTAATATTATAATGTTCAGCGTAAATCAGGCTTTCTTACACTTGGAAAAAACTGCTTGAGAAGACCATTTGGCATAAGTAAGTGTCCTACGAGCAATCACTGTAACCCATTGGTTAAACTTATGACAGTTATCCGACATTCTTTTAAGTTAACACCATGCATAAACACACTTGACCATTTATTATTTCAAAGTCATTTTCGGATAAAATCATTTTTAATGTACGGACAAATCAAATGCAATATCATGCTTTACCATTCCGCAGCTAATCTTTATATGAATTAACCGACCTTGTTACTTGACAAATGTCAACAACAACAACAACAAATACAATAACAACAACAACTATTCAAAGAAACGTTTTTAATTGATATACGGTAAATTAAAAAAAAATTCATTATAGTGATATAAACATTGACTATGTTAATAGAGTCTTTACTAACATTGTTATTGTTTTTAACAACATTTATTCGTGATAAACTGGAAAGGAAAATTGGCTTGACAAAAATAGTTTTTTTTTCTATACATGATGTGATGAAATGTTTTAAATTATATAGTTGTTATGAGAGTTAAACATTATTTCTAATAGAAATTTCAAAAAAAATCTTTTTCTAACTCTGCCGGTATCAGTTTACAAAATGTTTTAGATGATACAAATACACAAAGTTCACTTGATAGTTTGACAAGTCCTTTTAAATAATCACAAATTTAAAAAAAGTCTATTAAAATATGATAAGATAGAAAGACAAATAAATGAATTTGTAAATTTCACAACATTATGATCAAATATGACAATGAATACATTTATGAAGCACTTTGAAGATAACAATGCAAACGTCAAGAAAAAAATTAAAAAAGATAATGTATTTGATATCTAATGAGCGATTGCGGAATAGAGCCACAAGAACAATGGCATATTTTATAAAAAAAGTGTCAGTAAAATGTAAAAATTCAAAACTTGATACTGTTGCTCAATCTATTGTTCATTGGCTTGCATTCAATTCGCAGAGAAAGAAGTCCAAACTAACATTCAAAATAACGACATTTACACCGGTTGAAATTAAGGAACTCCACTGAGGTCCAAAAGCTTAATAAGAAAATTTAAAATTGAATTTCTTACAAAGATCCATTTAAGACACTTAAAACAGCAAGACGTCCCAATATAATTAAGAAATATACTCAGAAATAAATTTGGTATTTGTGCTATTATAAGCCCGATTTTAGTGAAAAGCGTTGCATCGATTTTCAATTCTTTGTCAAGATTTGCAGTCGTAATAATTATTCTGAAAAAGAAACAGAGCATGTGAATGATCTGCAATTTTAAACATAATCTGTTTGTCTAGACATACATCAAATGGAACAGTTAACTCGAAAAATTATTTCCAGTTTTAACAAGTTAAAAAACCTCAGCGGAGTCTCTTTAATACAAGTTCAGTAAATAACAACACTTCAATAAAGACTCTTATGGAAGGAAACATGATCTACTCAATTCTGCATATAAAAGTCCCACTTTTTTGACTTTGTAACGCATTTTTATTTGGAACAGACTCTTCCTCAGATAAATTTAGACTGTTCCTCATCTAAATTCAATTATTGTGAAAAATCAAAGATTCACAAAAATTTTCATTCCACGCCATATTTTAATTTAAGTGATTTGTTGTATCTCAGTTTATTTTACAAGAAAAGTAGGCAAACGATTTAGACATTCTGATAAGGGTTTGTGCCGGGCAAAATCTAAATGATGGAACTGCTCATTAACAGCTTATAAATGTTTAGAATGACAACTCACTTCACGATTTTCATTTGGATCAAATGAAAGCTTTTCTGCATGCGACCACGACTAACGTCGATCAATACATTCAGTAAGTCACGTTATTATCATGGTATTATAACGAAAATCCGAAAATTTTATAAGCGGCAATGGTACATCTATCACAACTCTTAACATCAGTTGCTCTATAGATTACAAAAAGAAGAAGTAATTGTCAACTGTTCATCGATCTACGTGATTGCAGATAATGCTATAGATTTACAATGTATGATTGAGCAACTTAATATAAGGAGCTCCACTCAGGTCAAAAGCCTAAATACATTAAAGGTGAAAATCTTTTATAGATCAAGAGAAGCACATTCATGAAAAATATCATATAAGGAAAATTAAGAAATCTATTCAGAATTAAATTGAATTTTTTTTTTGTGTGCAATTCTTTACTTTTTTATGATGTTTTGTATGTATATGTTAAATGTTGATGTATACATGAATGAGCCTTATAGAGTTAACACCATTATTGTGCAAAAATAACACCATTATTTCCTATATCACATGATTGTGTTTATGTTGTTCGTTTTGTTTTTAATATGTTTTAATATGTTTTGTACTTATTGTGGTAGAGTCTATACTCTTTTTAAATGACATGGTGTAATTCTTTCGAATAAATCATAATGAATGTTATTTCAATGCCGTAAAACACAATAAATATCGAGACAGAACATAATTTCTAATTGCTTTCTATCTGTGTAGACAAGTTTGTAATGTTTCGACCGTTGTTATGAAATTCGACCGGTTGTAGTATTTTCTCAAGCATGCGCAATCTGCGTAGGGCAAAAGATCAGGCAAAAATAAAGAGATTAGGTCTAAAACAATGGCAACAGCAGGCATTGAACCATAGACATCATATATCAGGCAATCACTTAACCGACATTGCTGCTGCGTATGTAAGGACCACCAATACATGGTATGACCTTTTAACACATAAAATATATAGTCTATATTAATTCCTGTTAACTACAAGGACAGAACCGAATAGCGATCAAATATTTAAATGGATGCTTAAGTGTATTCATAATTGACATAATTATCATTAAAATAAGACTACAGTATACACTATATAAATATACTTGCTATGTACAAAAGGTTTGACAAAATCACTTTGAAATAAATGAACAAGTACGAACAAAAACAATGGAAACATCAATTTTGGATGTTGCTAAAATCCGTAAATGATGTAAAGTATTTTTTATACACGACCATTCATAGAAATATTATGAACCAGAGGAAGAGGAGGATGGGGTCCAGTTACTGCTAGCAGTGCAGCATTCTTTGGTTGGGTGGCATGCGGAAGGTCGAAGTATGGATGACCATCTATCAATGTCTGAAATGAAAATATAATAAAGAAAAATAATCAACACAGAACTTTATGTTTTTTATACTAAAATACTAACAGTATATATATGAATAAAAATAGTTTGCTTGTATACCGTATCAACATGTTCCTTTTTAAAAGATAACTATGTACATATATAAATTAGTTATATATGTTTGTCAAGGTCTTCTCGACGCTTATAATTTGATCGCCACCACCATGCTGAAATAACAAAACTATGAAATGATATAAATAAAATTCCAGGAACAAAATACATTCGTTTATATATCTTTGTATTTTCCACTTTGCATTATATTTTGGCGTATATAAATAGAATGTTGAAGGTTTACAGGCACTGATATAGGCTATCAGAGTATACTCATACTCTACGGAGTAGTGGCGACATATAGGGAGGGATCATTTCTCCGTCGTCTGTCTGTCTGTCCCGTCCGTCCGTCTGTCTGTCCGTCACAAAACTTTACAGGAATGATCAGTACCAAGTCTAGTTGTGCATATTGTCAGCATTTTCCGGTTAAATGATTTTTGTCAGAGTTATGGCCCTTTAATAATTTTTATTTTTAAAGCTTGTCCGGACTACTTCTCTTATACCACTATTGCAATTTTAATGAAACTTTACAGGATTGATTTGTAGCTCAAGTTCTTGCGCATATTGCACGGGTTTTCCGGTTGAATGATTTTTGGCCGAGTTATGGCCCATTGATAAAAAGTTGTTTTTTTCTGTGTGTTGCCAGATACACAAAAGCTTGTCCGGACTACTCCTCATAAACTACTGGAGCAATTTTATCCAAACTTTACAGGAATGATCAGTACCAAGTCTAGTTGTGCTGTCCACTGTCCGTCTGTCACAAAACTTGTCCCAACATGAAATTGGCCATCATGAGGCGACACATGTGATCACTGATCGCTCTTGAGTATATAAACTTTGTTGTTTTATCTTGTTATGCTGTCTACTCTATAAATGTCTGCGTCAAAAAATATAGTATATTCATTTCTATGTATTAACAAATTTACCAGATAATTGTCTATACACGACAACCGATCTATAAAAAAACTGCCAAATTTGTATATTTTGCGATGAATTCAAGAAAGGAATGACATACAAATATTGGTGCTTGTTAAGCTTTTTTTATAATAATTTTCTAGTTTTGTTTAGTTTGTGAAACTGTTTAATGTAAATTGTGTATCTTGGCCATTTTCTTTTCATGTTGTAAATGGCCTAAGGTATATTGTAAATGCTGATTTTTCAATTTACTGAAACTGGAACTGTAAACTGAAACTGTTATCAAGGGAACTGATATATTGAAAATTTATTCCAAAAATGTTGCTGGAAAACTAAAAGCAAATTATCTCAACAATGCATCTACTTATAAAAGTAATCAGTATTATGGTGTAAATTATGTGTGTTATATGATTTATTTGTAGATTTAATTGCATTTTATGGAATGACGGATGAATAAAACAAACGCTGAATTATTGACATTAACCACTACGATTCATGTCACAGCTTTCATTTTTTCTTATTCAAATATACGAGGTATGATAAAAATAGTTCTCGGTCCGATATACTTCTAGCCACTACACTGGCATTTTCACACGATAAATCGATACCGATATATTTTTGAATATTACTGACAGGGAAAGGGATGTCCCCAAAGGAAATCAATGAAGACTTTATGGATACACTAAGGAAGGATTCCCCTTTCTGGATCACTGTGAAAAATGGACTTGTGAATTAAAGAGGGGCAGGGAGAGCATTGGAGATGACGAATAGCCTGAGCGACCAAAGAGGCCACCAACGATGAAACTGCCGAAGCTGTGCACGATATGGTCATGTGCGACAGAAGGCGAGACCTGCTAAGCATTGCTAGGGAAGTGACTATAAGCTTTGGTTTAGTTCAGGTAATTCTGACTGATGTCTGGCATGTCAAAGGTTTCCGCTAGATGGGTCCCAAGATAGTTGACTGATCACCAGAAACGACCCGGCTTTACATTTCAAGATATCTTTTGTCTCGCTAAGAGGATGAACCTACCGGTCGTAACTCAGGATGAAATATGGGTCCATCACTTCGATCCGGAATAATAAAACAACAGAGCATGCAGTGGAAGCACCCTAGCTCAACCCCTGCGAAGAAATTAAAGAGGGTGCCATAAGTAGTGAAGATGATGGCTTAATTTTGTTTTTGGAAAGTCAGGGGATAGTCATGATTGACTATCTTGAGCAAGGTCGTACCATAAACGGAACGAACTATGAAGATGAATTGGGACGTCTGCGTCAAGAAATCGTGTGTAAAAGGAGAGGCAAACTGACTGAAGGCGTTCTGCTCCTGCACGACAATGCGCCAGCTCAAACATCTTTAGTTGCGATGGCTGGCTGCTGCAACTGACTGCGGCTTTGAAATTCTTCCCCATCCCCTCACTTCCGGACTTAGCCCCTTCTGTCTTTTACCTGTTTCCGAAACTGAAAACCAAGCTTCATGATGGAAGTTTGGAAGCAATGGAGGTGTCATGGATGCCGTCAATGAGTTCTTTGAGGACAAAAATAGAGAGTTCTATTTTGAAGTTTTAAACAAGTTGGAGCACAGGTGGGCAAAGTGCATTGATGTAGAGGGCGATTAAAATTGAAAAGTAAGACCATAAGCTGGGTTCTTTGACTACCGGAAGTACATCGTGCCAAGAACTTTTTGATCACTCCTCGTACTATCGTAGAAACTTTGGAAGAAAAATAAATGCACTGAGTATAATTTATTCGCTGTCACTATTTGTAAGTGTAATAAAATTTTGATTTTCATTTGACATTATTGCAAATCCGTTTTGTCATTTATATCAAATTATAAACGTATTTGATGGAAATTGCGAGGAGTTTTTATAATTGTATTGGATAAAATAACATGATGCTCAAATGATGCTCAAATAAAGATTTATCAATATTGTAAATTCCTAAACCATTGTTTGTAAAGAAAGTACGTATATAAAGGTAGGTAATTAGAAATTTATTTCGATAAGTCGTGTTTTAGAAGAATAATTATATACATATATAAAATTTCACTTATGTGTTGTTACATCCTTAATTATAACATACACGCTCTTTAAGCATTTTTACCCGGTATGTTCAAAACGCAATCATGAGATATCTTTTGATGTGACAAATCTCTCTCTCTTTCCCTCACGCACGCACGCGCGCACACATCGCATAAATACTTTTTTGCTGACAGTCTTCTTGTCTGTTAACATGATGCATTATTACCATATTGGTTTCAGCTAAAGGTTTATATTTCAAGGTCAGATTTATCCCTAAACACAACCTGTCAAAGCCTTGATTATCTTTACATATATTTTTCAAATTCAAGCAATTTAATGTCTAAGAACTTCAGATAAGTTGTATGTTATAAACAAAGCTCAAAATTACCTACCCTGATGAAGCCTGTGTGTGATTCTAATGTTATATTGTAAGTTTTTCCATCTTTCACTGGACATGGCCGAGTTGTTAAACCAATGTTCTTCCAACCTCTATCGGGTGTGTATGTATCTACGCCTGCATTATCGATGTCGTTCCGAAAGAAAAGATGATGCATTACAGGTGGATTTGACAGGAGATTGTCCTTTGTAGAGTCATAAAGGTTAATTGCAAAGCTGGAATCAACAATAACTTGATATAACATATACGTCTTCACCGGCATCACCAGAGTGAGTTCTGAGTTACGATGATACATTACAGGAAATAACTCTGATTCTCTCAGATCGTTCTTAAACGTGTCATAAAGGACTATATTAATGTTGTTACTCAACAATAATTTTCACATCGCACATAGCAATCCGCATAAGCAAAATAAAAAAAAATATCAAAAATATCAAATTGTTTTATATATATTTTAAATAAATGCTGTCTAAGTTGTCGTAGATATATTTTTTCATTTTTTAAATTCAATAAGAAAGAAAATGAAAGAAAATAAATTAAAAACTTCTTCGTATAGTGTATATTTCATGAACTACAAACCGTGTCCAGGAAACTGGGATGGTAATGTAGATTTTTAAGTTAGCTCCAACCTCAAACAAAGATGGAAGTGCCCAGTAGAATCTGTTATTGACCTGAAAACAATTAAGAGTATTAAAAACTGCTATCGGAATTAATTGTTAAGCAAGCAAGCAAGCAAGCAAGCCAGCCAGCCAGCCAGCCAGCCAACCAACCAACCAACCAACTAACCAACCAACCAACCAACTTATCAACTAACAAACATACAAACTAACTTACATACAAACAAACTGAAAAATGAAAAAGTCATCGGTAACTATAAAATAAGTGTACTGATTTGAAGACGCTTTAGAAGGAAACTATATGTATCTTGTTCAGAGCCTGCATTACGTTATATCCATGTATGATACAAACTGATTTTGAAAGGAACTCAAAGCAGTGAAAATACATGTATTTATAATCCCCATATGGCAATCTTTCCACATAACATGCATACTTTAAAGAGTTTTTTTATACCTTTTATGACAGGATTCAGAATTATTTGGATGAGCAAAATGAAGGAGGTCCTTATGGGTACTCTTTGTTCTCCTCATTGTTTTTTGTTTGTTTTTTTCGCTACATAAAAAATTAAGCCACATTTAAATATTACTGCAAAAAGTCAAGGAAATTTACCGCTGCCTAGTGTTTCAAAAGTCACTTAAGTATCCATGTGTGTGTACAGTACAAAACAGACAGACAGACGAATGAACAAGATAAAATGACGTGCATTCACTCAACAAGGTTCCCTATCATCTAACAAAGTATTAGATTTCATACTGGTTGGGTTGCCGCGGTATCCACTTTTGTCCAGTTTTCCTTGGCAACCACAGTGAAAAAGTAAAATAATGTGCATAATATCTATATGACCCTTATTTCAAATTACCAACCTAGCCTAGCTTTTCTTTTATTTTCTTTACTTCTAACTAAGCCCACACTTTACTTAGATAAATGAACGGACGGACGAAGCGTTTTCTTTAATTTGCTTCGGTCAAACCGGTAGGGGACTTATCAAGACCACATAGAGATAGTAATGATTAAAACAGCTTTAAATATGTTTTCAATAACATGGTTTCATTGCGTCGTGTAATCAGTATATCGTTTTATTTGAAAAGCCCTAAACGTCTGAAAAGTCTTCAAAATAATATCAGCAAGGCAGGTATGCCACCATATTTTCTTAATAATTATTTGATGCATTAAGAAAACAATGAAATAATGTTTCAAAGTTGAAACGAAACAAAAATGATGAGTTGGTCAAGAAATATAATTATGACCGTAAATATTTTGGATATAATTCAAAGGACGTTGTTGACAAACTTCAATATTTGTAAAATGTTATAATAATAATAAAAATAATAATAATAATATAATAATGATAATAATGATAATAATAATAATAATAATAATAATCAAAATCTTGTATTTTCTGGAAAAAAAATATGCATGAACAATAACTAAGCATTGAAATTCAATTCAATAAAACATGTGTCAGTTTGAAAAAAACAACACTTTTAGAGAGGATGTGCAGGTAATGTAAAAACATGAAATGATTGACTCAATACTCCCCATAACATATCTGAGAGAGGAATGAAAAAAGTCGCCTTAATGTTGTTTTTTTTCCTGATCAATATAGATACTAATTATACAAATAAAACAATAATAAAATATATTGCTATGAAATACCGAAATAGGAGGTTTGAATTTCTCTACAACATTCTCCTTCTCTATGTAATGATAACCGTCGTCGTAACGTTTATCAAGCAACCAGTCACGCTCCAAACCATGGCAAATTTCACTTTCATCGTTGAGTGGTATTTTTACAGCCACGTATTTATTTTCGCCTTTTTGTGCACCACACTTTATATCATTTGTACTGACTTGACCATGTCCTGCTGTGTACTGAATATGTCTTTCGATGGCAAAAACAGTTGAAGATAGAAGCTCTGAATACATAACAAAGATAATCCCTTTTTTAATATCCATTTTTGCCTCTATCGTTATTATCTCAAAAGTGTCTGACTATCTAAAATTATTCAACACGATCTTTCGCCCTTTTAAATCTTCTATTTTTATTGTTCCCGAGAAGACATGTGGTTAAATGCTTTTTCAATAGCTTTGTTTCAATTAGACTTGGTCAATAAAGCATTTAGTCGTTTTGTGTCCTAAGAATTAATTTTTAGTCATTCTACAGTACGCAACAGTTGCTGCGAGACAACTAATGACCTAGGATGACAACTTGCAATTTTACATAACAAAATTAATAAGAATCAGTCATGAATAAAACCGTCGCAATAATAATATTATTTATTCATGAATTATTTTACGGGCACCCGAGTAGAACTAATGGCGTTCTGAAAAATATCTACGACACTCGTGTGAATACTGCTTTAAAGCAGACTAGATAAAATAAATTTCATCTGACACAAAAAATACATGTATCGTGTTTTAAAAGCACGTTATGCCTCAGAAATTGATGTATTTCAAATCCTGAGAAATGTCAAACATTTGTTCCATAATGATTAATTGCGAGTTTAAAGCATTTATGATTTTAAACAACTGACGAAAGTAGGGCTGAATTAGCAGTAAAACGTTGCACAGGTAGCAAAATATAAACAAAGTAGTATTTTGACTTCCATACAAAATACTAATTCACTATAATTATACATGTACTCACAAATAAATGTGCATAAAGAAATGTAGACTTTGTAATCCATATAACTCTACGAATTTCTGGGAATAATAAGTGTGGCTAAAATACAAAGGATATATTTGTAACTGAGCATTGGCATCATATTGCCAACATAGCGCTCAAATTTGATTTTAAAATTAATGATGTGTAAGGTCTTTTAAACAAGACTTTTCATAGTAATAATAAAGCTGCATTCTATAAGTATCATAAGAACAGATGCAGCTGCATTTCGCTAATAAAATGGAGTTTTTATCGACTCTCGTTCCAATTTTGGTGTCCAGACAATCAGAATAAATCTTTTAGCATACATATCTGCAACCTCATTGTAGCGGTATCGAAAGTACATATTCTTTTTACATGAGAAACTCCCCGTACATCAACAAACAATGCTTTAAGTAGAAGTCTAAATAAAACATAAGTAAATTAGCTTAAGAAAAGAGCTACTTACTCTTAGTAGATATAAATACATGTACTTTTAAATTATAAATAGCCCCATTGAATGTGATAATGATTTTTTGAACATGTATATATATTCAGCTAAGTTTTAACTATTTAGTCTATATAAATACTGAAGCGTAAGTGATGTAAATTTTAATTAAAAGCACTTTTTCTGCATCAGTTTTTAGGGTTATGCTCGACATTATTAGAGTGTTGTTCCTGTCCATAGTAGAACTATTCATGGGCACCAGTCACTCTGGTCTATTCTTTTAAAATCATAGTTTTCTCATAAAAAAATCAGTTAAAGTGAACTAATCCTAATTTTCCATTGTCAAGATAACCTGAACAACTGAATTGACTATGTATTTCAAAAGATTGACTGTTATAATGGGGATAGACCAACATTTGATTTGAAAAATGTTCAGAATAAAATTTAAAAATCTGCCTTGAATATATAAAAGATCTTTTCCACTCTTTTTATAAATCGAACGGAACAGGTATTTTCACATTGATAATGATTGAAATTTTCATGGGTTATGTGAGTTATTTATCGTTATTGCCAACTTAATTATATATTTGAAAGGAACTATGGAAAAAATACTAACTTATTTTAACTTCACCTGTCACTCACTATACACAAAAGGATGAAAAATGCCTTTTTAACATAAAGTTTCTTTTCTTCCACTTTTGCCAAAATAATATGTATTTTTGTTAATTTGCAGACACTCCCGTCACCCCCGACAAAATTTTATGGTTGCGGCTCTGTAATAAGATAGCAAGACTATTCGAACGGTATTCTCTCCCTCAACAATTCTTATCCTATTTTATAGTTTTCAAAATATGTGTGCACTGTTCCACCACATTTAATTAAAATGCCCCTTGATTTTTTGAGGAAAATCATTTGTGACCAAAACTGGAACAAATAAAATTTAGAAATTGGCAGGGTTTCATGTTTATTGTTATAAAAAAGACTGGAGCCTGATGAACGTTTTGGCTCAACCTTTCAATGAATAGTGGTGCATTTCTTCTCATATTGGTGTCAGTGTCCGCGTTGGCGTACCACTTTGATTCAAGATTTGGGGACAACGTCTAGCTTGCAAAGCACGAAATTTTAAGAGCCACTAAAGTATTTGCTTTTAACCTCACAAATACTTTTGAGATCTTCCGTAACAGGAGATGCAAAGCCAATAACTCATGCATGTTTTTTGACAGAATTATGGACCATTTTGAACAAAGTAATCTTGCTTATTTTCATGTGATAGCATTGAAAATTCATAATCATGTGTACTGAAGGTATTCATTTGAAACTTAATACATGACTTTGGGGTCATAATTGGATGTCACTTTCCAAAACAAAATTTATCCAAAACCCTTAACTCTAAGGTGTGTTTTACTGCATTATGCATGGCCCTTTGTGAACTAACTGAAGGTATTGTTGCGTACCGCTGTCTCTTGTATGTCTTTTATTCTACTAGCATGCATTCGCTAACTCCGAAGAATAGTTCTTCGTGGTATAGAGCTTCAAAGATGTAACTTGTAAATAGTATCTTAATGATATCTGAATGAGCTTCTGCTATGAATGTTTTGATCTGAGCGGAGTGACTTCCGACAGGAAAACTGCGCTTTTATAGTCAAGATTCCTACACTGTCCCACACTGTGGGAAACTTTAAGAAAAGTGTAGGAAAGGCTCCTAAAGGGTTTCCTACAGATCCTACACCTCCCACAACTTACATTCAAGATAAAAATACAACATAGAACAATATATTTAAACACAAATTACATTAAGCTAATAATTATTGGAATTAATAAAAACATGAAACAAGTGAAATACCTTTATTATGTGTGGAGATATGAAATTTTAAGATTAATAAATTAAATGTAACCCCACTTTGTACCCCACAGGTAAAGAAAAGTTTTGCACAAGATGATGATGTCATAAATCAACTAATGTGTGACGTCATATTTGTAAGCAAACAAAATGGCGGAATATCAATACAATGGTTACAAGTTAGTATGTTCTTCTTTGAATAGAGGAATAATTAATAAATCTAACGGTAAAATTACTCGTGAATTATAAAGTTAATGTATCTCTTTGACTTTATGATAAACTTTGAACTTAGTTAAAAAAGTTTTTATTAATAACTACACTGTTTATTTAAAACAACAGTTCATAAAAATGGGTGGGGAGTGGCACATCACAGTATTTACTTTAATCCTAATACATGTTTTGATGAGCATAAATAGAGGTCACTATCCAAGGACCATTGATCTGACATTGATTTTGGCTGATTATTAGCCCTGTGTGAACTTGGAAAATTCTTGGTCAAGGAACTCCACTGAAGAAGACCAAAAGCCTAAAACATAAAATTTAAATGTCTTACATAGATCAGCTGGTGCACTTAAAACAGAAATATAAACAAAGGATTATTAAGAAATATATTCAGAGATAAATTCAAATTGTGCTATTCTTTGCCTGATTTTAGACAATTTTAGATTTCATTTCCTTGATAGTTCTTGGCGTTCGTGCTCTCTTTCTGCGCTGCAAATTTTATACTTGTATTTCTATACAATTGTTCATGTACAAAACATAGTAAAATAATTCATTTCGTGTTTTCATAGCATTGTTTATTGGATTGTCATAAACTTGCTTTGAAATATGTATATACACTGAATTCTGGGAAGAATTCTCTGTTGCAATTCAAGGTTTACTAACTAAAATGCGATGTTTTTGCTACTGATGAAAAAAAAATGTATAAATTGTACATGTAAACTATTAAAGGCGGTGCGAGAGGGTGGGTGAAAGATGAACACTTTTTAACATATCTAAGTTAATCAGAAATTAGATGAAAAAAAACATGTTTTTTATTCTTTGAAAAAAAAAGAAAAAAAATCACAGCAGTATTTGTATCTGTATCAGAAATCTTTAATTTGTTTGATTACCGCATTAAAAACAATTTTGCAGACAAAAGAATCAACTAGAATGATGATAATCGTAAGTCAATAGGGGAATTGTCCTGACTCAGGTTAAAAAAAAATGATTCATGAGGCTTATCGATATGGAATGAACGTTATGTCAGAATTAACTAGGGCATATCTTGATTTATTACGTCAATTAATTTCAACTGAAGCCTTTTCACATGGGAAATTATTTCTTATCACACAAAATCACAATATTATTGACAGAAATTACTTTACAGGATTATGATAAATATGTTTAATAAATCCCCTAGGTTTTGCGGAAAATTCAGTTTTGTTTATCATATTATCTATTGTTTGATGAGCAGAAATACTAATGTTTTACAATGTATAGACGAGAGACCGGGAGAAAAAAAGAACTATGTTTTCTGATGGCTCCGACAATCGAGACTCTTATAAAAGAAAATGCACAAGAATAGATGTTAGGCAACTTTTTACATCATTACATTATGTTCTAGAAATATTTAGACAACCAAAACAACATCAACAACAAAAACTATGTTCATAGACAATATATATTTATACCACTGAAAAAAATGTATTTTACGATGGACGCCTTATAATTATTACGAATAAACACATTGTCATTGTCAACAATAATTTTATTTAAATACATGATGAAAGATTATAACTTGAATATTTATTTTTCAATTATAACATTAATTCTGATTGAAATTTCAAAACGATCTTCTTGTCTGCCGTATTTTTTCAGCGATACAAATACCACAAAGTACTCATTATAGTCTGATAAAACCTTTGAAAATTTCACAAATTAATTAATTTAAAATAACGCATAGTTAAATATCAAGATAAATTAAAAATATACTATGCTCATCTTTGAGTAAAATATTTTTATCAAAGACATTTGTTAAAACCTATAAAATCCTTACCGAAAATGTCTTATTCGAATGAAAAATAAAATGAATTAACTATGTATTGGAAGTCGCGTTCCCTTTTACAGACGAAGTTAAAATGGACTTGTCTTAAAAAAACTGCAAGTTTTTTCAACGACGCTATATATTCATATTGTGATCACCTATAGTGTGTAGGGTTTTTAACATGAAATATCTACTTTGTGAAAAGTCAAAACATGTTT